GAAAGGGAAGAGACACACCGGATAGAACAGAGCACATGTCCTTTTGCGCTGTGTTTGTTTCATTATGTACAACCAAAACCAATTAGCCCAACTTTCTCATTTATTACACTTTGTTCCTTTTGACAAAAATCCGGTGGTGTCTGTTAGTTTGTCAGCACCGATGAGAGAGAGAGAGAGAGATTGGCGCGTGTGGACGTCCGCGCTTCGAAGCAATGGCAGCGTCGCACGCATCACCCCTCTCCTCCTCTTCCTCCCTCTCCCCTGTGCTGACCAAGGAAATAGACTGCCGGGTTCTCGTCAAAACGAGCGTTCTAATGCTAACGCATTAAAAGACGTCTTGACTGCTACGTGAATGCCGTCTACATTATTTGTTTCTTAAGCTCGGCGGACATTCGAGTGCCGAACAAGCGTCCCAGGCAGGTGAGTAATTAACTAAACTTATGTAATAAAATATTGAATATTGGTTTTATGTTCAATGTAGCAATGGAAATTTTGAAGACAACTGCTTTGGAAGGCTAGACTAACTCACACTATTGAAAAAAAAAGGAAGAAAGCAACTGATTCAAAGATGTCTGGCGACAATTTCTTCCCCTTCTATCATACGATTCCGAAACTGTGGATTCAAAGGGTACCGGAAGTGCTGACCGCCCGAGTGGATTGTAGAAGTGACGCTTTTGTGACTTATAGATCGTCAAAATCTGTATCGCGGCTGTCAGGGTGCGGCTCGTGGTATGCAAACTCGCTGGGACAGTCATTAGCCCTCTCGTGTTTAGTGCGTACTTGCCGTCGAAGCTTCATGCGGCTACGCTATTGGCGAGGAGATCGAACTATAGGCGGCGCTCTGACCTGTTTGTTGTCCCCACACCTCGGTGTTTACCCAACACTAGACCTGTGGGCATGCCCAAAGGCCTTGTGCGCACGTTCACGTCTTTACGTAACAATACTAACTATAAATAAAGTGACGTTTATAATTAGTGCTGGATCTCTCCCGAAAGCAGTCGTCAGTGAATGTAAGCTTGACCCACTTCGGCTTTTGTTGTGAGCTGGGCGTATGCACCGTGCATGCTGCATTCTTCATGCAGGCCGGAGTGGCAACAAAAAAGCCCCTCTTCCCCCTTGGGTGACCGGAGAACACGAACTCCAGCCAAACGCTGACGCCGCGTTCGGTTAAGTGAGCTGAGCGCTGAGTCATTGTTATTTATTGTCCCCATCCGTGTAGTTTTAAAGTTAGCCGCCTGGGGAGCAACAATTTCATTTCCTCCTCAATATGTTGAAACGCCTGCCGTGCCGACAAATGTGAGTGATGCTTCGAGGGCAATGACGCATTCAACGCGAGAGTTGCTAAAGACTGTGCCAGCGAGTTTGCATGCCCCGAGCCATATACCCTGGAAGCTGCAGTGAACATATGAGATCACGACAATTTTCGCGTCACGAAACCGTCACTTCTACAAGCGTCACATGGTCAGCGCTTCCGGTGCCTTCGTAACTTTCAGTTCAGAAATCGGAAGATAGGAAGGTGAGAAACCGTCGAGCGGTATCTGCGAACTAGCTGCTTTTTTTAAATTGTCTAAGTTGGTCTTATCTTCGAGGGCGGCTGTCTCTATACTTATAATTGTTACATGACCCATAAAACGAATAATTAAAACGTGAATTCACGAAGTTTATTTAGTTGCTTATCAGACTGTGACGACTGTTCGCCCCTCAAGTGTCCACCGCACTCAAGATAGTATAGTGAACACGGCATTTACGTAGCAGTAAAGACGCCTCTTTTAGATATCTGTTTCGAATAAGAAACATCACCCCGCATATTGGTTTCCGCAACCAAATGAAATAGAAAAATCTTTCTTCTCTTCGCATGGGACGAATTTGTTTGCGTGATTGACAGGACATTGCTCCGGCGTCTCGTCAATGTTTACTTTTTTAAAGAGCTGTTTTAAGTTTATTCAGCGGGCAAACACAACATTTGTGTTCTACTGGGTGACAATGTAGCCTTCGAACGGTGGGCTGAGTTGTGTACATAGGGGATGACGGCCAAACGGTACAACTTCTTACTTTTGGGGGCGGGTCTTCGGCAGTTAAGACCAGGAATGAATCTCTGTAAAGTATTCCTCAGAGCATTCAAAGGAAAGCAAGATTGGACAGCCTCTGGTGCTGAGCTTGGAACACTTTTTCTGATAGGTGTGGAGATCACTTTATTAAGAAGGGCGAGAACATGGACTTGACGAAGCTGTGTTTGAATGATTCAGAGTGAGCACTTGAGAAGGGAAGCACCGGCTTCCTTGTCCTTTGTTCAAATTCCAGGCACAGACCATGGACAGTAAGATGAAGACGGAGCTCAAAGTACTGCAAACCCTCTAGCGACGGGTCTTTCATGGTGAAAGTGAGTCTAGAAGAACCCCAACGTGAATGCCTCAACAACTCCGTAAGACCAGTTCATGCTCGGATGGGTGATAAGGTAGCGAACCTAAAAACACTGCATCCAACAGCCATGCTCTGAATGTGCTTTTTCCTAGCTCTGTTAACGAAAGAGATGCAAAGTCCACTGAGTATAAACGCTACAAGACCAAATACAAACTCTCTTCTTTTGAGTAAATGTTTTTTCTCCACATTCTTTTTGGTGTTCCTAAATTCAACCAACACGCTCTTCAATATACAACGACGTGCTACTGTTGGCATGCAGTCTGCTCCGCAGCTGTAATCGAAAAGTTTATTAAAGCTTGCTCATCAAAACTGAATCTCTCGCATACCTACGCACACGTTAAACAGGGAAATTGTATAAGTTGAATGGCGATAAATGTTTTCTTTACAGCAGGTTATTCACGAAGTGTCACCTCCACAAGGTTGCATAATTCGTTGTTGCAGAATTATCATCCCCAAGGAGAACAAGCAGGAACCGTGATGCTTTTTTATGCATGTCAGAAAAGCATTGTCGCCATGAAAGAATGCGTTTGCGTGCATGTACTTTCCGCGGCCTGGAATGTTTAAGTACCCTGAACACGCGATGAACCCTCCTTACTACACTCGTAGATTGGCGCCACCTGTCAGGTAGCCCAAGAACGGAATTTACGCACTATTTTTGAAATATGATCGCCTACAACATTAATAAAAAATATTCCAAGCGCAAGATGACATAATGATTCCCATCAAATTAGCAAATAAAATATTATTGGAAGTGTTCCAGCGCAAAACTAGAGACGGCCTTGGCCGCTTACGACGAGGGGTTATATAGACTAGATGCTATTTATCAAGCAGCCATAATGCATACCCTCATTAAACGGAGAAAAAAAAAGCGACCGCAAGTAATTTTAGGGAGCTCGGTCAGTCAAACGCAAATGTGAGAACCGGCGGTCCCCCAACAATATTTGATCTTCAGCGCTTTTTATGTTATTAGATCGTGAGGCTACTAGGGAGCGGCTAGTGGCGACAGAATATTAGCGCATCCAATTTCAGTTCAATAAAGAAAAAAAAACAACAACAACAAAAAAGCAACGCAACGTTCAGAGGCGCCCCGATGTGTTTACAACGCGCAGCTGGTAGCGTTTCATGGACGACGATGATCGGCCGCGTTATCAAGAACCTTCAAAAGTTATTTTATGCATGCGGAATAAAGTCTATAACTCCGTGAAATATGGTTAGTCTTTCAAAAAATGCCACTTATTTCGCGAGAAAGGTTAAAATAAGAAAAAAAAAAAAGGTTTTAAAATTGCAGTTAAATAAAAAAGAAGGAAACATCTATCGAGCCGTTTGCCTCTCAACGAAGGTGGCGGCGCAGTACCAGCGAACCAGTTTAGGGGGCCAGCGCCTCCTTTCCGAGAGCCTTATCGGCCCTTTTCGGGAGTCGCCCGCCTTTCGGGATTTTGGAGCGGAACCAGTGGGGTGCTTATTTGTACAATTTGATTCAGCTGCTCCTACGGTGTGCTGTGTGCAAGCTGTTCTCACTGGTCAGTTTGGTGGTCTCCTGTTTTTGTGTCGGTTTCCACATCAGAACGCTCGATTGAACGATTCTCTGAGTGCTTCTGGCCGCGCTGCTACCGGGCAAGCCGGCCGCGCTTGGCTGGAATACAGACAAAAGCTTGAAGCTGGAGGTCTTGCTAAAGGTAGACTTAATAAGAATTCAGGGGCCCTATGCTATACAGCCTACACGGCGGGACCAAGCAGGACCAAGGGACCGGCCAGCACCGTCTGCTGGGATTGGTCAGCGGTAGCAGACAGCTCTGTCCCGGTGCCTTGGTCCCGCTTGATCCCGCCGTGTGGCATGGCCACAGGTCGTCCTGATGTATAAGCTATGTACGATCATGTGCTAGTCGTACGACTCGGCAGCCGTACCCACTCAACAGAACAAATGCCAAGTGTCGATTCGTCCAAACAAAAGCCGGCTTGCTGATTCGTTACGAGCGACTGGGACGGGTGCGGTCGCTCGTCGAAGAAAAAGAAAATTGAATAATTAAACTCGTTATTCACGCCATTTGCGTATTTTTTTAACCAATAACAGGACAAGTAACCCGTGAGCCGAAGCTCAGCTTCGGTTAAATCTATCTCGTTGGTACCAATCAGCAGAAGCGGATAATATATGGAGCAGCGCGCTAGACCGCAGGCCACGCCGCTTATTAGCGGCGTGGCCTGCGAGACGCGGCCTAGTAGTGGACGACGTCAGCACGATCGCGGTCGGAGTCTGAAATTAGAGCGATGCAAGAAGCTACAACCACTATGGCGACGAGGCGTGCAAGTTGTCGGCGCGGCAGCCATGAAAGTAAACCACAGCGTATTTGGCCAGCCGCATTGCTCGAACCCTCCAAGCCTCCAATACGACATAGAGCTAAAACGTTTTGCATGTTTTTGTAAACTTAATTTTATAATAACTCCCAAAATAAATCGCATTTATAAAAAAAAAAGTGTCTTTCCTCCACGTTACTATTTTCGATTAGCTCCGTCTCAGCGCGAAATTCAAACCAGTCGGCATGCAAGCATCCCGCCATCCACCCTGCTTATGAGGAACATACCTGTGCCTCCTCCACGTCGGGGTGCGTGTTGAGCAGATTCTCGATCTCCAGCGGCGACACGTTCACATAATTGTGTACAATCACCTCTTTTATGCGTCCCAGAAATGTGATTCGACCGTCCTCGCTCAATTTCGCCGCGTCCCTGTGGTCAGAAACGGACGAAACTTTAAACGGCGCAACCGTAATTTTACTAAAAACTACCCCCAGCTACGAAGGCATTACAGCGGGTATTTTTATATGAGGATTAAGAAACATAATTCACGAGCCCTTCCCCCTCTCCCTGAGAATTTTTTTTTAAATTTATACATTGTCAATACATTTTGAGCTAGAAATTTTCTAAATACTCTTCTACTTAGAGACTTGTACACTGAAAGATACGTGTATTTTGCAATAACTGAAATGAGCCTCACAAGATAAACCTAGAGATAAAAGTGCCTGACTCCGGCGAAAGCTAATTTTTGTAATATACGCGTCATATACAGGCATAAACAAAAAACGGCTTGTTTGAAGCTCCGTCTTCGTTATTGGAGCTAGTACTTCCAAGTTATCTGAGGCGTCAGGTGCAGGGACTATGCCCGCGGGAAGACAGTACCAAGTGATGGCGATAGGGGTAGAAAAAAAAAAAAACACGAAATGGAAAGATATGCAAAAAGTTAATGTAAAAAATAAATATCATTGTAAGGAAACTTTAAGAGGGCCAGCTGAGCTTAGGAAAATAGAATACAGATAGGAAAGGGGACAGACATACCACTAGACTACCAACTGTGGTTTAATAGTTGATCCTTTTTTTAAACGTTGACTTTTGAACCTAAGTTCAGCTGGCCCTATTATAGTATTATCCACCAACAAGCTCAACTAAAGCCCCTTACAAAGTAAAGAACAACGGTGAACAAATATAAAAAAATGAAACATATTAGCCTGTGAAAGCGAGTCCAGGCAAACTGATGGACGACACAAGAAAAAAAAAAAAAACAGGTTATGAATGAGAAAGGAAATGTGCGTAAATATATGTGATATTCTAAGATTCTAAAAGCACAAGCATTCAGTGAGTTAAAAAAAATCAAATTTACCTAGATATATCGGCATTAATACACGAGTGAAAAGAAACTTTTCTGGGACACTGGTTATTAAGAAATGAAGCGTAATATATGTATCAGGAGGTTAGGGCACAGGGTAAGTCCTATACTCCCCATGCATTTGAGGCCATGTTGAGGAACATTTTTCTCGGTGACTACTAGGAGTATTCCTGTCATGTATATATCATTTTGTTCGAAATATTGTGTTTTATCCACTGAACTAGAATTATTTGAACCAATCTAAAATAAGTTTCTTTTTTATATTTTTTTATTCTAGTACTGAAATTTTAGTTCTTTTCATCTATTAAAAACTTTGTAACTCAAAAACTGCTAGGCGCACATTTTTAATTTTAGTTCAGTATTTTAGAACACCCATGTATGTGGTAGGAATAAAAAATCAACCCTCTATAATGTCACGTTAAGGAAAAAATGGTACCTATGTACTAAAAAACACTGTTTGGAGATAATTGAGTTTAAAGTAGAAAAACTGGTGAATAACGAATTTCTATTGGCACCAACAGCCTCAGAGTCATTTTTTCAATAGCCGCCAGCTTGAAAGGCATTGCTAAAGTCATGTCTTCGCCTTTAGGCTTATCGCCTTGCTTGCCGGGCCTCTTTTGTGACGTGCCATGCCGCTTGGTCCGTAAAGTATATTAGAGTGACGTCAACTTCCCGCAGCCACTTGATGGTTTTCCACGCAGGGTTCCATCCACAAAACTTCAAAACATTGGCTTCTGCAATGCTGCCACCATTGAATAAAGGAACAGCATCCAATGGCACCATTTTGTCGTTACGAAAACACAAACGCTTGAATTTACACACGGTACACACCTAGAAAAAACGTGCACAGAGTCTCGTGATTGTCTTGGTTGAAAAAAAACTATGCAATAGTTGCGAAATAATTTTTTTTAGATTATCTGTTACTGGACAAGCTTTTAGGTCATGTGTTGATTTTGTTTTGTTGGAGAATTCATCGCTAAACAGGGAGTGTATCCCAAAAGGAGGCATGGTCACCTGCTACTTGCTTTCGGAAGAAGTGATTTTCAGCCCAAAATATAGCTTTCTAAAAACACTGGGACAATGGAAAATGTGCAGAAAGAACTAAACTTTTCAAATTGCGAAAAAAACTAAAATCGATTTTTTTTCAATTTTACCTTACCCTGTGCCCTTAATTAAAGAGATTAGAGAGTTATACGGAAACATTGTCTCGACCTTTTGCAACTTAGCACGCCTGTACTGAAAAGGGTTAGTTTGGGACTCGATCAAAATGTTCCTTTCAATGAGCTTGCGTAGCGAGCACATTATGTTTTTATTCCATGGTTTTTCACGCTCAGTGAGCGTACGCCAAATTAAAATTGGCAGAGCAGATTTTAATCTATGTTTACACAGCGTGTCCTCCAAAAAACATTGAGTCATTTTCTACTGTAAAAATCTACTACGTATAACCGAACGATCGTTGTCCGCTCAGATGTAGAGCTATCTGTCCGAAGAAGATTCCAACGTTTTAAGACTAACCCTTATCCGAAGGAAAATTGATAAATGATTTTCGGAAAATGTTAATGGCGCCATGGGGTTCAATTCTGTCCGTTTTTGGTAACTGCAGTGTGATTGGGCTCCATATATTCGGGAGATCTGTCGGCCGCCGTGCTCACATTTGAAAAACAAATATTACGTATAACTATTGAACAAAATTGCGGTTGGTGATGAATCTTTGGCATGTGGTTCGGGCCGCTAGCGCTACATTTGGACGGAAAACAAGCGTTTTGCTATGCGTAGTTAATTTTTTTTTTGCGATACAAAAACCAAAAAAAAAAAAAAAAAACAGAAAGTTTTCTTTTAGGGCATTGTAGGTTATAGGCGCCCTGCGTCCGCTAGGAGCCGCTATCAATCGCCCGGCGAACGTCGCCGCGCACGGCCACTTTTGAGTCAGCGTAGGGAGAGCTCCGCCGCCGCTCCAGCGCCTCCCGCGCTTCCGCCAATGTGGCAGTCAAAGCAGTCACGTCGACCCTGCAACACCTACCGGTGTTTCACTTCACTCGAGCTGCGCATGCCGAGGTCGCTTCCCGATGAGTGCGCGCGATGTCGCCGCTAGAGGCGCGCGTATAGGTACTGAGTTACATCTGCAGGGTGCCCATACACGGCGTTTCTTAGAAGGCTCACATCCATAAAAAAACTAAAAATTTATAAAAAAAAAAAGAAAAAAACTTACCGGGACAAATTATTGACCACGGCGCACGTAAGAGATGGCAAAACGCATTCATTTAGGTTCTTCTTTAACTGAATCGTACTACTTACATTTTTTGTTAGGATAAATAAACATATGGGTGGTTTCATCTCAACTCAGGCACGGATTTGGGGTCGAATTTATTATTTTGACGAAACAATTATATGTTTTGGAGAAAACCCTTCTGTGACAGGGAGTGCAACTGCAAGTTCGGGTGATTTTTCATTCTCGAGTTTTGGACAACTTAAGCAGCCGAGGCGCATACTGACATTTTTCTCGCCTGTCGGAGGTGTCGTGTTTCACTCCTTTTAAATTTTTGCCTGTTTTCGGTAGTGCAATGTAACTTTTAAGGACACTCTCAGATTAGCGATTATTTGTGGTCAATATTTTATTGTGATTATTTATCTTCACTTTTATTTTAAACATTGTCAAAGTGGGTCCCTTCCACAATATTTGTAAAAGTTTGACCAGCTCTTCCATGTGAACTACTTAAGATATCGTGATTATATTTAGTATTTTCAGAAAGCGGAGAGTCTACTCTTTTTATTGATATCAAACTTAATGTTGTGTGTAAAAGACAAAGAGCGCTGTATTGTCGTAAATCAAGGACTATATCAAAATATTCGCAAATTGGAGGTCGATTTTATAAAAAAATACCCTTACCTTTTATTTGGCAGATTGTTTTTCTCTAGCTGGCTATTGCAGTACTTTATAAGGTAATATAAATAGAAAATGTAATATTTTGTTTGTATGGCAGATATAAAAGCTTAAAGTCTGATTTTGTTTGACTGTTTTGTCAGTAAATCAACTTACTCGCAAATATGCACTAATTCAAAATTGGCGCCTCTTATTTTTTTAGTAGATACCTGTGAACACATGTATTCTCTGATAAATAATTTTAACGCATTTATTTATATGAAACATATTTCAGAAAATTTGCCAATATGACGTTTATGGACGATCTTTGTCAAAGTTTACCAGCTCTTCCGCGCTGCCTATATGATGTGTCTTAACATATTTAGTATTCTCAGAAAGCTTAGTGTATAATCCGTCTAATGATAACAAATTTGATTATAGACTTGAGCGTGTTGGTAATCTACATTGAATTAAAACGAAAGAAACACACAAGAGGACCAAACAGACGACACAGCTTTCGAGGTGCACTTGACTGTGCAGTGCTCAACGAAACTGAATGGACCAGTGGAGCGCTTGGCTTCGCTAGAGTAAAGTCTGAACCGCACGTAAGGGATTTAGCGAGCAACAGGACGATTGACGGCGACAAGTGATGAGAGTCAGCGACGAGCGACGAAGATTTCTAACAGTCGGGGGTCGCGTTGCTCGGTTTGTGAATTTCTAGAAAACGTCGCTCTTCACCTTGGTCGCTTGCTCCCGTCGCTTTCATGCGGTTTGCCTCAACGTTGCTGTGTCGTCTGTTTCGTCCTCTTGTGTGTTTCTTTCGTTTTAATTCAACAAATTTGATGTTATCAAATTCGGCGACAAAATCAGGGACGACATCGTGATCTGTGCCCGTGATTACTCAACGGTGGCGAATGTTCGTTCCGCGCGCTCGTGGTTTTCGCTAAACGTGTTACTGACAGATAACGTGTGTGTGTGTCCGTGTGGTGCACCTGCGCGGTTTTATTAGTTGAACTACCGTGCGTCTAGGAATTTACCCAGCGGCATTGTGAGTACATTGAAAGATATCTTTGGCGACAAAGAACTCGGTTGTTCCTATTTGGTCTGATTGCTTTTGTCTACAGCTGTGCAAATCGTTTCACTCGTATCGACCCTGCTAAATAAATACATGGACACGCAATGTCTATATGAACTAACCACTTTAATTATTACCGAATCGCTGCAGCATCTGGCAAACAGACACCACCCACGGTTCACAGGTTTCTTTAGTTGACGTCCGAAAGAAAAATAAAAACACGTTAAGTTTCGGTGAATACGGCTTTACTGGAAGTGAAAAATGTCCCATAATCCAGTAAAATCGATTTTTTACTGGAAATACAATTCCGGTAAAAAATTAGTGAATATTCGGTTAAAAACGTCCGGTGACATTCCGATAAAAAAATCCGGTGACATTCCGGTAAATTTCGGCTTTACCGGAAGAGAAAAGCTTCTTATAATCCAGTAAAATAATAGTTTATTGGAAATTAAATTCCGGTAAATAGTCTTTTTCAAACGGGTGGCCTTATCTGAACACGCCCCTTCATAACAAAACGGATGGAGCCTAAGCGAAACGTTGCGAAGTTTCTCTAAACCCCTCACAAATCTTTCTTCAGGAAGGAATAGATGTCTTGTATTTTGTACAGTTGCCGGGCTTTGTGGGTTTTGTTCGCGCCTTCTATTTTAGCAGGCAGTTCCTGGGAGCCATACCATGCGCAAGAGAAAGACACCAAGATAAAAACAACATTCAACGTAAAAACGCCAGACAACCCTGCTGCATGACTGAGGCGTCGGTGACATTGACGTGCACTTGACTGTGCAGTGCTCAACGAAACTGAATGGACCAGGGAGCGCTTGGCTTCGCTAGAGTAAAGTCTGAACCGCACGTAAGGGATTTAGCGAGCAACAGGACGATTGACGGCGACAAGTGATGAGAGTCAGCAACGAGTGACGAAGATTTCTAACAGTCGGTGGTCGCGTTGCTCGGTTTGTGAATTTCTAGAAAACGTCGCTCTTCACCTTGGTCGCTTGCTCCCGTCGCTTTCATGCGGTTTGCCTCAACGTGTGACTGACCGAGTGTCAGCGGGTCCTCGTCGCCGTCGCTGTCTCGTTACTCGCCAAATCGCTTGCATGCGGTTTATACTTCACTGCACATGCACGGCTTTAGGAGCATATGCAGTTAGGCTAGCGTAACGCGACCTGTGACGATCAGCAAGATGGCCATCTGTCTTTGGTCCTTTAGAGCTCAAAAAGTCGAAAACTATAAATGTAACGCTCAAGCGGTTTTCAATTTCGTCCTACAAAGAAGAATTTGCCCAGCATATATATTCTTTTCAAAACTTCATGAGACATAATTTACTGCGTCAATTCAGATGAAATCGCCAGTATATAAAAAAAGCAGGGAATGAACGAGCCAATCCCAAAAGCAGACATTCAAATACGTACACATTAGTCATGGTCTAAGGTAGACTAGGTCAGTGGTAAAGAAGCTAAGATAATCAGATTGTAATATCTGTGAGTGAAGAATGCGAAAAACTCGGCTTTCGCATTGTACAGGTTACAAATACCAGGACATCAGAAAGGAACAGGAGCCTGAGAATTGATGGGAAATTTATTTACCAATTTAGGGAATGTTATAAACAAAAAAAGCTCAATTTCAGGAGAAACCTGCGGGGACTCGTTATGTCCTCTTTAAAATGGTACTAGAGTCCTTGGTTTTGCTCGAGAGGAAGGATGAACGAAAGTATAAAATATTGTAATCCCCAAAAAAGTAGCCTACCGAATTGTTAAGGACGGTTCCGAGAAGCGCGATTATATGCAAAATTGATGTGGTGGTACATTTAACGAGACGTAATTTATAAAAAAAAATGTAAAGGAAAGGGATATTATTTCTAGGTAAAATGGCTCAAGCTACCGCCCAATTCACATGACGCAGCTAATATCATCCGTCCATTAATTCGTTCTACGATAGAAGGCATACGCTTGCTGAAAGTGTTTGGTAGTCATTTCCAATGTCTAGCAAAAAAAAAAAAAAAAAAAAAAAAAGGCCGCTTACAACACGACTAACAACACAAGAAAACGGCTAACAACACGGCTAAGCAGAAAGGTGGAATCGTTCTGCCAAAAATGACGGCTAAGGGGGTGGACAAGTTTCGTCTCTATTAAACATGCGAAGTATGGTGTTCATAATAAAACGTGGAAATTCTGTCGCGTTTTGTGGTAGTCTTCAGTGAAGCACCGCAGAAGTAGCCCCGTTTATATCTGTGTGCCCTTCCCTTGTGCACGTGCAGTTAGCAATGCTTTGTTGCGTCGTCTTACAAAAGTTATATGAAAGTACGCCTTATCCTACGTTGCGTCCCGCTTTTTGTCTCAGCTCTTTCCGGCATACAAACCTTTCTATTTATCAAAACTGTCGGCACTGAGGCCAACGTGGCTGTCTTTCTTACCCTGTGTGGTACCAGTTCTCTCTGATGGCTTCGTTAGTCTTGGCGTCATCGTTGAGGTACCCTTTAAAGACATGGGGGCCTCGGGTGCACAACTCTCCCTTTGTGTTCACAGGAACTATCCTGCCTTCGGTGTCCACAACCTTCACCTGCAGTGATGAAAGACGTCATCTGTTTTATGACAATCTATCGTTGAAGGACTTTGAGTGCTAAAGTTGAACGGTCCCGAAAAAAGAAAAAGCAGTCGACGTCGTGCCACGGAACCGTCGTCAGCAGTAGCTCTCGTGCAGCTTGTGAAGAATACTTAACAGGCGAACGATGTTTCTTGTACTACATTTAAGCATATCGTTACATATTCTTGGAAAACCACAATATTTACTGACAGCTGCAAAAATACTTTGCGGGGCAAGCTCCGAAAATTTTACTCCAAACTTAATAAGATTGGCGATATATTCTAGGAACGAGTCAAGGAGACAAGAGGCGTAAACCTTAAGAGTCCTCGTCCGGCGTACCTTAAGCTTCCAGCAACAGTAGTGCCGGGTCTTTTCCAATAGACCCCTAAAGTTTTTCTGTTATATGGTGGCCACATGGCTCGAATGCCATCAAACGATACGTTCCCAAGCATACATTTCAAGCTTGCAATTTATATACACAATTAAAATCCTCCAGAACCTGTGTACATCTCATGAATGTTTTTTTTAGGAATCCATATTATCCCAATGAAACTTACATTAGTTTCAAATACGAACGCTTGGTAATACTAACTTTTTTACAGGCTACGTTTTATCGTATAAATACGCGAAATTGACAGATTAGCTAAGAGCAAGCGTGTTTTTTGTCCGAATTCGCTTTTGAGTAAATCTTTCCTAAACTATTTTGTGCTGGACATTTTGAGCGGGATCATTTTCTTTTGTCAATTTAGTGTGTGATCGTTAAGTTCGGATCTGTTTTTTTCGTACCTGAGCGAAGAAAACTTGCAGAAGCTACTTAGTGCATCTGCCCTTCTATCTTTCAGGTAATATTGCGTATAGAAACAATGAATTGGAGCAAGTTTTAAGAAGCAAAAGCAGGCGAGCCCCCTCAGTGCATATATCTCGGACGAATTTTTATTTATTTCTTCACTTTGAAGATACTACCGTCCAAGCCTTGAAGGCCAAGGCGTGGTACAGGCAAACAATAAAACAAGACAGCTAAGCAAACAAATACACAAAGCAAATTCAGTAAAAGGAGTAAGCAGTTTATTCTTTGGAAGTTGTCTATTCTAACGAAGAAATATTCATAATTTGCGCTATGAATGTAGCAAGAAGACAACACCGGTCACGCAGGGAGGTCGCTCGTTCCATTTGCAAACGGTATTAAAAAAAATAAAAAGTTTTTTTTTTGTTTTTGGCAACGAAACTCACGAATCAGTTTCTCAAGCTTCCGTCTGTTTGTTTTGTGAAGGGGGAAGCCTAAGCTTCCCCCCTCCCAAAACCAATTCACTCTTAAAAAAAAAAAAAGAAGTCAGCGTTTATTGTTTTTTTCTTTTTTAGATTGCAACATTTCCTCGAAAATTGCAATGAAATACAACGGCCCCTGATTTTGTTGCGATAGCAGGAATACGCATGAAAATATATTTGGGTGCGAACATAAAGGTAGTTGTAGAAAATGGTATCCCGACAGAGGAATAGATATCCACAAAGCATATTATAAATACCGTCGTGATACATTTGTCCTGCGATTAGTGCCCAAGCTTGAGTGCACTCAATGCTGTCCAACCTGATATTATGAAGATGTTGACTTTCAAAATGATGCCCACAACCTGAAAGGGTCTCGAAAATGGCATCTGCCTTGTGCCATGTCGAAGTTCACCTGCTAATTGTGAACTTTGCGTTTCGTTTTTTTTTTTAGTTTATTATATGTAATCCAATGATAGCGCATGGTTCGCTATATTTTAATGCGTTTTGCCCGCTTGTTCTCAATATGTTCTCTTGAAATAAAGCGAAAAGTGTGTTTGCTGACACTTAAGGTACATAAAAATCAAATAAAAAAGCGACATCTCAGGCATCCGTTTTAATGGAGCATGCACCTTCCGTCAACTGCGCAGTTTTTGTTTTAATTTTTCATACGTAGCCCGACAGATTTGTTGTGTTTATTTTTTTTTTCAAGTTGTTGAGATGCCCTTCTCATTGCAAGGTATATTGCGCCGTATTTATAGCCCGCTCGCTCCTGCACTCATTCTCTTTAAGCACGAGACGCATGCCCGATCAAATTCACGCGAGAGAGGGATGACCGATCTCGGCCATCCTTTTGACGCGTGGTACGAGCGGCTGGATGTTTTGCCGCCAATGTATGTCTTCTTTCAGGCAGGCTCCAGCGCAAAGCTTTGTGGAATATTTGACAGTTTCCATGAAAGTTCGGAATGATAGTAAAATGGGAAAGCGACTCTTGGCTATCAGCTGCTGAAAGTGATCAGAGACCGATGCGTACTAACCTCAAGGTGAGGTAGCGGTGTTCCAATCGTCCGTATCCAGCGATCCGTCGGTTCATCAGGGCTCGTGCTGCTGACGACCGGACTGCACTCGGCAGAACCGTATACTGTCTGAAAGGTCGCACCATCGGTAGATTCAAGTGGAAATATTGTACGGATATTTTGCACACCCTTTTGTCCCATAGCTAACAGCCTAAAGGTGCCACAGGAACAACCTTAGACTGCCAGTGAACACTCCGAAGTTCAAATCTTGAGGTCTTAATGAACCACAGGTTAACGAGCATCAAGCACGACACGCAGTTCTCACATGCGCAAAAAAGGCCATTAGAGACGCATTAGGTGACAGACGAGCCAAGATTCACGACTTCGGTGACATCTCCAGCACCTATATACTCGACGATTCAAGGACGCTCATTTCCATGTGACTGTCGTGCAATTACGAAGGTTATAATCACGTTTTGTTACTATCAATTATACACGTAAAAGACAATATATGTTTTCAAGAAAAGTATCTCCAGCTAAAAAAATGAAAGACGTTTAAAAATCTCTGTAACGCGAAACTAGAGCGCAGCTCTTGAGGAGGAGGGGGGAGGGTACGGAGGGATGGTTATGCTCATTTTTCTGCTCCGCCCCCCTCAACTCCTCCTCCCCCCCTCCCCCCTCCTCCTTGTCCTCCTCTTCTTTCCTTCTCCTCTCCTTCTCGCGCTGAACTTGTTCATGAGTGACGTGACACGAAGTCATAGGACGTCATTTTTTGCGCTAAATTTAGCGGGGATATTGAATATGTGTTGAGGTCACGTGACGTCAATTTGCTTATTAAATTTATCGGGGAAACTTAAACCTCTAAACTTAGCAGGGGAAGTTTTTGTAGCTCAAATTAGCGCAGAAATTGGGGTCACGTGACCTCAACACCAATTTAGTTTCCTCGCTAAATTTAGCGGGGAAAATGACGTCACATGGCATCATGCCACGTCCCCAACGAATAAATTAAGTTTCTACACTGAATTTAGCAGGAAAATTAACGTCACGTGATCTCAAAACAAATCCAATTTCTCTCTAAATATAGCGGGGCGGTTATGCCTACGGCGACGGCGCGAAACGCGGAAACGGGCGCCTAAGGGATACGCTCTAAAAAAGTGCATACATGCACAACTTTTTGACATTGCCTCTAAAACAACCCACGCTACACCTGCTCTTCAAGGTCGAACACGACTAAAAGGCTGTACCTTTCACTTCACAATAGCAGGCTCTGAGACACCCTTTCCACACAACCCAAAATATAAATCGTGTGAATACAGCAGCACCCTCTTTTGCAATTTAAATGGGTCACTCATGAAAATGTGTCGGAACGGTGCAACCTCGGTAGAAAGACTGGAACAGGCTCTTTACACCCTTGAGAGCGTAAACGTTCTTAGTGCATATGAAACTAGAAAAAATCCCATAATAAAAAGAACCGCTCCATGATAGTTCACGCACATATAATTTGTGGGCGTTCAGCTTCGTTCTCATCTTTTCCACAAGGTCAGAAGTACACGCAGCCGAAGTCACAACTCCTGCAAAAGAAATTGAAGACGACAAGATGCGTTAATGTGTTAGGTGAACAGTGATAGTTGCAGGCTAGAAGCGGGCGGAATGAAAGGGAAACATATTGTATTCCAACATTGACTCTTGCAGCTTCAGTGAAGCCGCAACTTTTTTTTCCTGTCAGATTAAATCTAGCTTGAGTTATTTATATCACCTTGCATTTACTTGCGTGGTTTATAAGCTATGTTTATATGTTTTGTTTATAAGATTTTTTTTTGCGTGGTTTATGAGGTTTAGTTTGAATTATTCATCTGCCGTGGAGCAGAGGTCTGACTGACATTGTATGCTCCTTTTGTATGCATATCCCCCCACTGTAATGCCTAATTTTGGCGCTGTGGGTATTGCATAAATAAATAAATAAATATATATATAAACAAATAAGTAAATAAATAAATAAATAAATAAATAAACAAGCAAATAAATTGCCAGAGGCTTTAAGTAGGAACGAAAGGTGAGTGGAACTGGGATATGCTTCGCACTTTAATGAGATCGTTAATAAAAAATTCCAGACTGCAATGAATGTCTACGAAAACCGTGTGGAAGAGGGAGGCGTCACTGCCTTCAAATGGTTCGTAGAATCTATTACAGAAGTGTTTTGAAAGCACGTTCTGTGTAAAGCGTCTGCGAAGACGGACAGAACGGCTTCAGGTAATGATCTTTTGATTGTAAGCAGCTTGAGATTGGCAAGTTCTTATACAAAATACAAACTTTGACTTGAGGGCGCTGCATGCTGATTTTGTTTTTTTATCTTATCCAGGGTATGCATATTTTAAACCAGAAGAGTCAGAAGAGGCAAACTCTCTAGCCTTTTATTAGTATAAAATAAGTCCCCATGAAGTGCTTAATCGAAAAGTCTCGCTCTTGTAGCACCGAGCAATGTGGCGTGAACGTAAGACACAAATCCTAAATCGTGCCTTCTGCTCCAAACTTACGCCAGTGAGTGCTCTTATCCGTTTCTGTGTTTCACATAATTGATATTCAGGTGAAAAACATTCGCCGTTTTCCAGCAACGCTCGGCTTCGAATGGCGCACACGCGCTCGTGACTTTAACATTGTGGTGATTGTGACAGCTATACCAAGTCTTTCAACGAAGACTTTCAAAAATCGACGCAAATAAGGTGGTAGAAACAAGCCCTTCCCAAACAAACTGCTACCTACAATTAATTTCAGCGATTAAAATAAACACGTTAATTAGCTTCATATATTTTTAATTTACAAATTAAATTTTTAATGAGTGACATAAACTCGTGGTTCCTATTAGAAACTAGCCGGACATTATTAAAACCACTAACCAATCAATGGTTGAAAGGTACAAGACAGAAACAGCAATTTATGGACTTAAACAACAACAAAAAAGAACGCTGAATTAAGACGCGTTTTGGGGTTGCAGCCGCCTGTCAGGGGCCATTCGCCAGTGGCCCTGCCCCCACGCTGCGCTGCAAGGAGGTTCCGCCTCGGCTCCCTCGCAGGATGGAAATAAATACTGCGTACATGCGTCGGATGCCTCGGTCACCGGGCGACAGTACCGCTGACGCAAGAATGCGCTACAATTACACAGAAACCTAGAATGTTAAAATTGAGTTTTTATATATTTTTCAAGTGCTGTAAATGGCAGATTGCGAATGTTTTTCTAAAATGAGTTGATATAGTAGGTTTTCATTATTCTGAGCAGGGTTCTAATTAGAACGATCGCCAGTCATTAAAAGAATTGCTAGTAAATTTGAGTAAATTGGCTCGCAATTAAGTTTCTTTTTTTCAAATCCCTGACTTCCGCTTTGATTGCCAGTTTTTCCCGGAAAGGGTTTATTTTTTTTCCTTAGCCACCCTAATTTTAGTTTTTTAAAAATTATTTGTTGAAACACCCGGTGTACGAAATAGCCAGTGATGTCAGTCGAACAGAGGAAACAATACAACCCTACAACCATGAATAAACAAACACCGTATACAAAGTAGAATAATGTACCCTGAAGTCAGTATGCCTTGAGATTCAACGTTCCCTCGTTGCAAAATAGTACTGTACCCCGTCGACAAAAAGGGAAAGAGCACAACTTCAGGCATTTTTCCGCTTTGGCCATTCACAGAAATATTTATTTCTCAATTTGTCGCAGAGTTCAACTATTGGTATATAATCTTCGCGTTCTATGAAACAGTTTGAACCAAAGGTTTTCAGGAAACGGAAGGTATACCCAAAACAGGATCAAGCATTGACGCGACTAATATTGTCCGCGATGGTACACGCGCTTGCAATGAAATAAATACGCGTTTGAGACATGCCACATGGACCTTCTTGTGAAAACGTTTAACAGCGGTGCTAGAACAGGAGCAGAGTTTCAATATTATATAGGACACTGGTAGTTTATTATTTTATTGCAATTCCACGTGCTGTTCTGTCCTGCGCTGTTCTGTCGTTATGGCACACACTACGCCCACACTTAAGAAAATCGTCAACGCAACTCTAAGTGATCATACTTAAAATCAAAATGCGATACTATTTCGATGTTGTCTGATAGCAAAACACGATAGAAACACTGCACCCCTTTGAATCTTACAATATTAGTTTAACGAAAAACGGCACATAATGTGTAGCTCAAACTAAGTAAATAAATAAAAAAATAAACGGCGGAAAAGTAGCCGAGCTACACACCAAAAAACAATTCGTGAAACAGAGACCACCGCATTAAAAAAAAAAAAAAAACGGCAAGAAATTTTTAGAAATATAAAACTTTTGGACATGTTTTGAACACAGCCCATTCTGCAAGGAGCATCCACTATATCAGCTTTATTGTCTAAAGAAGCCGTGCATGAAGTTTCGCATGTTCCGATATCGATACGATATTAGGACGGCTCTCGTCACATGTGCTTAAGATTTTTTTTCTCAATTATTACCTAAAAGGGTACAAGCACGGGTGTGTAACTTTTATTTTAGTTCCAGCTCCACGAACTTCAGAAGAGTTGAGCAGAAGCGCCATCAGCCGCAAGAATCTCACGCTTATAGACGCTTTTAGTCAGCTCTGCACGGGCGCCGCCCTAAGCAACCCCCAGTTAGTTTACTTTTAATTCGTCTACGTCTCTCAATGACTGACAGCAGGAGATCTCTTTGCCATAATTGATTCTACTGTGTTCCCGCTCCCACTAATGGCATGTGTGGAGGCTTTTAGACTCCCATTTTTGTGAATAGGAATCTCGGGGAGACAAGGAAAGATCATCAATGGAGGCTGTAACCTGGCGCGTGTTTTAAGCAATCATAGTTTTCATTGCATTCAGGGTTAAGGTGAGCCGAAGTATAGGTGTTGTTAGACAAATTCACCCTAGTGAATAAAAGTAAACGTTTATACCTTTTTTAATAGAAGAAACGTCGTACGGACCTTCTTCAAGCTTACCCAGCAGACCATAGAACATACTTGGCGCACCAGAGACGACCGTGCATCTGGAACACCGAAATGAATTTTTTTTTCCAATTAGGCTAGCAAATCATAAACGATCAAAGTGAAGTTTTCGCTTTCCTGTCGAGTTTGAGTATCTTCTTGACGCGCTAGGATTACAGCTCCGCGCTGGTGCCTCATAACTGACACTGGGTGAAACACTGGTCTGTTGACCAGTAATGATATCTTAGCCTCATCAACACAAAGTCTTTCAGGCCTACTTTTAGACTGCCTGAGAACACATCACAACGCAAAGCCGAAACGGGTCTCTTAACACGGGAGGGGAGCATCTGGAAAGTGCAGTAAAGGTTCAAGGGCAACAAGGTGTAACGCTGAAGGACATAACAATCAGGCGAACTGAAGGACTAACTCCAGAATAAACCTGAGACTTGGAAAATATGTATAACGTATGTCGTAATAGTATATAATAAGAGGATACATTACGAAAGCTGTTTTATCCTTAGGCTTTCCGTTTGCTTAAAAAAGCAGTGAAATCTACTGTAATGCAGACTCGGCAGTTATTATATTGCCGCGCGCAATATAATACCTTCCGAGTCTGCACATTACAAGATAAAAAAAAATTGCATGTTATCCCTTGCATTTATCAGTAATTTTGTTATATAATTTATATATATTTTAGTGTGAAGGAATTCACACACTTATTCAGGTAAGGGAAATATTGTAATTTGTTACATTTTTGCTTTCATTAACGGAGGAAAAAAAATATAAATTTTTAAATACAAAAAAAAGACGCTTCTAATATAAAATAAATATTTTTTTAAAGATGAGCCCTGCCGGAATCACATTGCCACCTGTAATTACAAAACGCAAGGCCTCGCGGTCTTCATACGCCCAAATCTTTGCTTTACGTAGCCGAACATCACGTTTGATTTTTCTTTTTTGTTTTCCTTTGACTTGGTTCTCTCAAGTGGCATTTTGGTCGCCCTCAAGGAAGGAGGGAACACACTGATCTAAAGACCGGACTCTCGTTGCAAACAATAAGAGGCATCTCCCCCCCCCCTCCCTTCCCTTCCCAAAAAACAAAACAAAAAAAAACGTTGAACTATTAAAAACAACAAAAAACTTTGACGTGCACGTGCATTTGAGTACGGATCTGTGCGCGCCTGTTGTTTTAGTGTATTGTAAATACAAATGTTTATTTCGTCCTGTGCCATCGCATCTATAATTCTAAAATCTCCGGGTTGCCCACATCCCTAGCATCTTTTTGTGCATCAGTTTTTGTGACCGAGATAAATATTTTAAGAGTTTTGTTTTTGTTTTTTCTCAATATTAAAGGACGTGGAGGGTAGAATGCGTATTTTGTCGATTATCATATTGCGTTGTTCTATAGTCTCAGTAAAGCAACAATTAAGAAAAAATATAGCTGAAGTCAACTTCTTACATGTTTTAGTAACAATGCTAAATCATAGAATCCCGGCTCGACTGTCGTTGGTTGCCACAGTGGTGGAAGGCTGCGCTGCCGTTGCCTCACCTGACATCTAGCTCAAGAACAGTGAGCTGTGGGGCGGCCTACGGCCGACCTGTGCTACGTCCGTTTGGGACTGCATAATAACGTTCTAGTTTGCTTGAACCAGGACGCAAAGTAAAAGTAACGCCGCGAAAGGAAGGCATTACTTCTTGAAGTTACGGTCACTTAATTTTATGGAACAGTAATTGTAAGAGTAATTAGTTACACTTTAGCATTGAGGACATAGAAATGTAATTCCTTACCTTTTATTAACATTTACAAGTCTGATGGAGACACTGAGCTAAAAGGCCAGCTCATTTTCGTCAATAGTTACAGTTATTCTTTCTAGCATCCTTTCATTGTGTTTTGCTATGGTTTCTTGCCGAGCTGGTTCTCTCAGACTGAACTTAATTCGAAATAGATGTAGCGTCTGGAAGGAGGGTAAAGTCGCAGGGCTATATTTTGTCACGAAGGAAAATTGATGAGGTGACGAAAGCTAAAGCCAAGTAACCGTTTAATGGGGCAAACTTGCGCCAAAAACAAAGTAGAAAAGGTTAGCGTCGCAGGTGTCGATCACGGCGAAACAGCAGGATTGAACGCTGGGGCAAGACTGACTCCGGCTCGCCACGCGCAGCTCCTTTTTTACACGCGACTGATTCAGGTTCAATCGGCATAGAAGGTTCCGCGTGTAAAAGATTCTAACCTCAAATAAGCAACACATTTCTCGAATTTATCAGAACGCGACATTTACCAAAATAACAAAAAGGTGCCTCCTCCCAGGAAACAAACCGTGGCCCTTTGCGTGGGAGACAAGCACAATAGCCTTTCGGCCACGAACGCGCTTGTTCGGAGTCGCGTGTGGAATTACTCCCCCCTTTAAAAAGAGCACTGTCTCGATGCACGTAAGCTAAATAAAGCAAACGAAACAAAAGAAGGGGAAACTACGGACGCTTGTAAAACACGGTCCTATCGAGCCTCATACGGGATCACAGTTCACAGTCTTATCGAGCGTAGAACGATTTCAGGCGCACGACGTAGACGAATTCAGTTATTGATGGGCGGCGTGAGGACGTTCTTGTGCCGTCGGGCATCAGTTCGTAGCTCAGATCTCCGAGTCGGCAAATTACCTGTAGGGTCCGAAGTACCGTTCCAGGAATTTCTTACTGAGACCGTGACGGCGAATTGGTATCCACACCCATACGTTGTCTCCGTAGGGAGAGTGGACGTTGCGGCGACTAAGGCTGTACCGGTGGGCGTTAGCACGTTGTTTTTCCTGAAGTCGGAGTATGGCGAGTTGTCGAGCCTACTCTGCTCGTTGGTCCATTAACTGGGCTTCGTCGGTTCCGTCGTCTGCTGTGTCGTGAGGTAAAGTCCGTCGTGCGTGACGAATACAGTGTTCTCCCGGTCCCGTTCGTCAACCTCCATCTGCCAGTTGCCACTCTTCAAGTTCATCGATGAAAAGTATCGGGAATGGCGCAAGCGGTCATGAGTATCGTAGATGCGGGGAGTGGGTAGACGTCTTTTCTTCGCAGGAGTGAGTTGACGATAGTTCACGCAGAATCTCAGGGTTTCGTCCTTCTTCCTTACGAGCACGACAGGTGAAGCTGATAGACTAGCTGCTAGGCGGCTGGATGATGTCATCATGGAGTATTTTCTGAACGACTTTTTTGATGCCCTTCCTCTCTTTCAAAGAGACACTTTACGGCGACTGGTGAATTGGTTGCACGGCGCTGTGGGTAAAAATACGATGTGTCACCACTGGTAATTGGCGAACTTGCGGCGACGTGAGAAAACAGTCACCGTATTCAGCGAGGAGATGAACCAGTTGCCGGCGCTTTGAAGCTGGAAGCTCGCGGTCGAAGTCGAGCTGCGGCGGCGACGTGCTCTTGTTCATCACAACTTGCAGCGCTACCAGGACAATAGCACAGAGAGGAGAAAATTCAGGACAAGCGTTGAGCTAGAAAATGACTCGATTGAAACGAACAAAATACACATGATGCTGCTGCTGGTTGTACAGGCATGAATCAGACGTATTTTTTCATTTCAATAGAATCAGTTGCTAGTTCAGCGCTTCTTCTGGGTTTTCTCCTCTGTCTGTCCTTGTCCCAGTCGCACTGCAAGTTATGATGAACGTTCACCAACTCGCCAATTGTCCATTTTGCTATGTGCTCTTGTGCTGTGACGACAAAGTTTCCTCAGAGATTGCTTTGATCATGAATGGCGCTTGAAGTTCATCGACGTCACCCACGGTCTTACCCTTCGTTAGGTGCTGCGGCTTCTATCGAAAGTTCGTCACGAGAACAGTTGTACGTCCTTCTTGGAGATCTGTTACGCCTCATGAGATGCCAAGTCCTTTTTCAAGGAGCAGTTGAACACTGTTTTCCAGAAGAACTTCACTGCACACGGCGGCGTCGCTTATGACAGTTACAAAAACACTCGACCGCGGAGATAGGGTCACATGGTCGGCAATAACTCCGTTCGCGGTTGTCGTCGTGTTCGGCTCTACCGGCGGAAGAACAGGCTTTCGCAAAACAGGCTTTCGCTTTCGCAACTGGTTTGCCCCGATGCCGATCGCGGCGCCATATTCGCAGAGAAAGTCCATTCCGAGGATAATGTGCCTTGACAGTCTGCGGAACGCCAAACTTCTCAGGGCACGTCTCACTGTGAATCTCGACGCGAGCACTGCATCTCTGACTGGTGTGATAGGGTGCCCCTCTGAGGTTTGTATTTAAAATCCATCCCACGGGGCGTTGTCACTTTGTGCAGGCGGCCAGTGGACCTCCCACTCAAGACTGAGTAGGCTGCTCTGGTGTCCTCGGGCGCCTATGCGTCGTACCCGTCAATAACAACGTTTAGTTTGTTAGGCACCGTTGCATTAGCGTCGTAGCGATACGTGTCGTCGGGAGAGTGAGACTGCTTTGTCATTCTTGGAGGCTTTTTACTTCGGTCGTCTATGGCAACACCACCTCCAGGCGTTGCCGCACTCAGTTTTTCCGACGAAATAAAGGGATAGGCTGTCCCGGTGCGAATGACGGAAAGGCGATGCAGAAAGTAGCGAAGGATGGACAACGGGAGCCTTGTGGGTGCGGTCGGCGCTGGTGACGGAGGGCGAAGGAGGTATTTCTTGATGTCGTAAAACTGTTCGCCGCATTCCGGCCGAGGATCGTTCGGCAGAAACCCTGGTAGGCACATTTGGTGGCATATGCACCTCCGGTAAACGTGGTCAGCCTCACCGCAGCGGTAGCACAGCTGTCGTCTGTCAGCCGTCCGCCACACGTCAGTCTTCCTTGCCACACTCTTTTTGGGCGAATGTGCGCCCGATCTTCCTGAAGTCGGGGATACTGCGGCTCGCCAGGTTCACGTCAGGTGGCGCCATGTACGGACGCGGGGCTGGTGGTGTTCGTCGGATCATTGCGGGTACCTTAGAGCGGGCTCCTCCTGTGCTGCTGCGGTGACAAGAGTCTCAGACTGGAAGGCTCGGTAAGCCTCACCTCGGACGACCTCCGCGAGTGAGAGTGAAGATGGGCGGGCTGCAAC